AGCTGTCAAAGGTCTCTGAATATTAGTGATTTCTATTGAAATATTGAATAAAATCGTGAAAATTCGACTGTATTATGGACAAGACCACTTTTTTATTCCAACATGATGCTTTTGTACAGAAAAACATTACAACTCTCATGTATTTTGATATATGTTATAGGTTTACTTTTAACAATCCGTTATCCCCCTCAGCGAATGGGAATGCGGCAAATAATAGGTCGATTTTCTAGCTGTTAAATTTGGCAGCAGATTTGGACGTTTGTTAATGCATGGCACTCTTGAATTTACCAACTTCAATATAATGAAAGTTATCATTACATACTTGTTGAATAGTGTGGATTTGTCTGTATTTTGCAAGAAAATAGAATATAAAATACATTCCATCCATTCCATCCTCGTCTTCCTTTACGTCATAATAGTAAGCATTTATTAATTTATGGGTCAATGAATTTCTTCAAAGCAATAGAAAAATTATGTCCTCTCCATCCTAAAACCAGATAATATGTGTAAGACGTGTCAATCCCTACATCTCCCTGATGCATAATGTAATTACTATGGACATAGACAAAAAATGAAAAATGTTTCACAGATAATGGCTTTTAAGTCCAAAAAAAAAACTAGTTAAGTTTATTGTTTGTCTATTTTCCTTTTTTGACTGGCGGGGATATCTATCTGACACTTGCAGGGTTGCCAAGTCTAACGACGATCACGTCCCGTGGTGGAGGGTGCGAAATGAATCTTTTACATTTGCTGGTTTTGAATTTTTTGTGAAAATTTACTAGGTATCATGATTATAAGCATCTTTGGTAGACTGTTCGATCCGGAATGGGAAAGATCTCCTATTTATGAAACTATTTTTGGTATCATCTAACCGTTGCAATCAGTGCACAAACACTGTGACATATGATTTATAGCATAACCCGCTGCCCTGTCAATACAAATTTAACATACAGGTTGCCTAGCCGTGGGGATGCAGTGGTCGGGATGAATATCACGGCAGCAACTGATGATTTGGGCGTGTCTGGCAACAACGTATGAAGTGAAACTCGCTAACTTCTCAAATTTGGAGATTTTGTACAATTTCTTTGAAACTGATGAAAGATATGTCTGATTTGGCAGGGTAATGTCGCAGCCAAATGGCAGTCACTCTTTCTGACTCAGTCCGGATCGAAAGATGACGATACTCGTGAAACATATTGATAATTCTAAATATAGGGTCGTATCGAACATCCCTACTGTCAAGATGTATAACCAAAGGTACCGACGGAGCTATATTGCGGCGTCAAGGAAATAATTTTAAATTTTCATTTGCATTTCTTCAAGTGTTGTGCAATGCTTTTGGGAAAAATGTCACGAATAGTCTTATAAAGCAGTATATTTCAACAGTTGGCGGAACTTACTCCACTGGGACCAGGAGGGTGAAACGGGATATTAATGCACAATCTGGCAACCCTGTCACACCCTCACAAAATGGCCGCTGATAACCACACAAGTCACCGTGTTGTCATTGATTAGCATGGAATTAAATCTTCAGAGTATAATATGTTTTGTGATTTGTGACTGGTACCAAGAGTTGACAGATCCCACACATGTGTCACTCCTTGAAATGCAATAATCAGCTGTATTCAAATAATGTCTAATATAAATATAACCTAGGAATGTGCACTCGTGAAAAAAGAAAAATATGGTAAATTTGTAGTTTTTTTGCAGGTTTTAGGTTTGATGGTAGCTTTAAGGCGTATATTTGGGAATTTATCAATCGCTGTGAATATAGTGTGGATGTTTGTTCAGTTCCTGAACAACGAAAAATATTCAACTTTATGGATGTATGGATATCAAAAAACCTGAATGGTTTTGTGGGAATATCAATCTAAGGTACCATAATGGTTCTGATGAACGGCAAGTAAATGAATGAATGTTTGGAAACGAGCAATATCTTTTGGTAGAGTCTGTCATCAAGTAGGGGCTTAATGGCCATCTGCAAGAGGTTTATAGGATATCAATTGAAGAAAATAATATAAACATGAATAAAAAATCAACAATAGTAATTAAACATTTCTTAAAATTTTGACTGAATAATATGTAATTTCTTAATATTCAATAAGCTGGTGATGTTTCAATGACAAGTTGTCATCTCATACTTTGACAGTATTTTGTTTTCAACATTTCATAGTTATTGGTTGCTCAAATTTGTTGATTGGTACTTGAAGCTCATTCGCTGTATCTGACGGTCTGTTACCCTATAGGTGGAGAATAACGGACTGTTGTTGGTGAAATTGGGCCTAAGAGGGTTTATTCTACGTACCTCCGTCGAAAAAATACTACTACGGCTCCTTGTAGTAATGAAAAAGGCGTAAAGTATAATACCATGCAGAAACCTTCTAGGAAACGGCTTTCGGTTAGTTCATTAAACTGAAATTCTATCACATGTATAGTGTGGCCCAAACTTGCGTGGATGGAGTATTGCTCCGAGGCACAAACTTTTTCAGAAATTGGTCAAAATTATCCTCGATCATCCCCGTACGAACTCAATTGAAATGAGCTGTATATAAACTTGTTTTTATACCGGGTGTTGCAAATTCGACTCTCACCTGACGATCTCGGAAACGGCAAGAGATACAAAGTTGCTCAAATGGAGGCAAAGATGCGCATTTAGGTAAATAAAAAAGGGGCATTAGAAAGTTTTGCATGTATTCCTGGAGAAAGACAGAAGAAACTGAATTTTCTAATTTTTTTTTCTCCTAACTTTATTTCAGATGAGATTTCAAAATAAAAAGCACATTAACATTGCCACTTTTTCTTCTCTTCAATTGAAATTTCAATATGGCAGTCGAATTTGAAACACTCGGCATTTATCCAGATTTCTATAAAAGACATAAAAGTACGTTAACCCGTATCTCTGCCAGATTGGTAGAGTGAAAATGTTTCATTTTTAACTAGATTCTCATAATTTCGTCACCGACACACATTTGACTAGGTATCCAAGACCAGCTTAGAAAAATAGCGGGATTTGAAAATGAGAAAATATACTGGTTGTCATTCTAGGATGTTTCAATGAACCATAAATTATGTGTTTTCGAGAAGACTGTACTGCTGATTCGAACAATCCAAGGAACGGTCAAACATGCTTTTATCCAACAAAATCTTGACAAATCGCAAACGTTTTTATGGATAAAAAAATATGTACTAAGAATACGCCATATATAAGAAAAACAATTTTGACATCCAGTTCCGATGTGAGACATCCTATATAACAATTTTTTGAAAAACTTTGTGACTTCGAGCAACACTCTATCCATAAGTTTGAACCAGCCTGTTCAAAATTTAACGTTGGACAATTATGAAAACTTGGAGTTGTGGTATCCTAACTGATGTGACGAATTCAGATAAATATTTTCGCACGTTCGGTTGCGTCGGAAGTAGACGCTTACTTGTTTATTTTAAATGATATTCAATTTTCGAAACCTACGCGTGATTCTAAACATATTTCATATACAACATCCTCAAGCTAGCTGTAACCGTTGTTGGGAAACATGAAAGACTGTGTCAAAAATCAAAAGCCTCAGGCAGCGGATGTACGAAGCTAGACACGGTTAGGATGGGTGGCGAAAGTCAGGGGGGTCTGTTAGATAGGCACATCGCGAGGCGGCATCATGGAGGACCTCTCAGGGGCAAAGCCCCTTGACATAGAGGTATAAGAGAGCTAGATTGCCGACGGCCCATCAGTGCGAAGGGTCCAGAGACTATCCGTCAAAGAAGAGTCATCGAAAATTCGAACAGCTATTTAGTAGGGCGGTTCTTGTTAGTCAAGATACAGTACCGTGTCATGGAAGCATTCAACTGTACCACGGTGGAGATCGGTTTGTTACCCTAAATTCCTGCATGTAGAGTGATTTCATCAGCAAAACTGTGGTTCGATGTGATCATACAGGTTAGGAGGTCATTGATATGTAAAAGCAACAATGTCGGACCCAAAACCTATTCCTAGGGAATACCCGCGTTAACATTGTGGGAGGAAGAGGAGAACCCATTAACTATAACGAATATCTTGCGGACAGAAGAAGAAGGCAAAGCTTTTATGGACCGTAGAATGGAAGTTTGGCAATGAAGCAAGCTCCTATCCATCAAAATCTGTGCAAATCTTTTTAAGATTAAATAAACACCTAACAGATCGAAAAGTTTTCGCGAAATAAATGTTATCAAATATAAAAAAAACAAAAACGTTCCAAGTGACTTTAAGAAAATTTGCACTACCACCACACCTACATACATTAAATTGTTGGTTACACAAATTGTATCCATGATTAAGAGCTGGATTGAAAATCTAACAATCCTTAAAGTGCTGTCTTTGTGTCGAATCTCAGATAATGCACGATGCCTTTGTTAGCATCTTGTAGCACGTGGCACCCGATCTATACAATAATTTCTCTCTTATAATGATTATTAATTGTATAAATATAACAATCTCATTTATGTTTGCCAAAGGTGCCAAATGCCAAACTATGATAAAATAGAGGCTATCGTTATTCATTTGGGTGTTCGACATATTTAGATAATTAAAAGGCAACTTTGAATTACCTTAAATGTGTGAACAGTATCAAACCAGTCCACCTGACCCGTCAACCAGAACTCATATTCTATAATATTCTATAGCTAATAACAAAACTATCTAACCAATGTCAAAGGAAATCGAGCAGGTGACCATCGAAACCAAAAAACAGCCACGGCTCCTTGACGATCCACGCTAAAGTGTTTTTGTTCTCTAATTATAATGGCAATTAAAGTCGGGTGATATGGATTTCTATCAACGATTTTTTGTGATTCTTTTCGGCTGCTATGCCAATGGACGGGAAAAGTAAAAGTGAAGATCTGTCAGTCGGCTGACCAGTAGATTTTTCTGTCGAAGATAATTTACTATTATGTTACTTGGCTATGCAATTGCAATACGTACTCCACTCGCATTTTCTTGACCTTAACATATTGATAGGAAATCATTTCAAGTAGTCGCCGTGCGCTGCGCGGGTTCGAATCCCGTTCCAAGAGAAACCTTTCTCTTGGCTATGGATGTTGTGATTGTGCGTAGGTGGTAGACGGTCTCTGACTGTCGAACGCGGAGGTACCACCCGGCTTACCTCTAAGGCGTGGCTAGAATGTGTGCATGTTACAAAGGCAAACAAGGCAAATTAGCAGTAATCGGTGAGATGGTACGGATTAAATACCATGAGTAAACTAAGGTGATGGAACGGCATTCCAGTTTGCAAAACATGAAGCATCTATCAGCAACATAAATTCAGAACCAAACTTGAAGAGTCATAAAGCATAATAAGGTATAAAGTTAAAGAAAGACGAATAGTAAACGGAGCTGGATGACCGTCTAACTACAAGAAATTTGGTCCGCTGTGATCATTATATAAATTTCCTTGTGAAATCTATGAACTGGAAGTAACGCTAAGCTTATTGTTATGAAACAAAAAGCGTTGATAAGGTAAAACTAAACAAGTTAGAACTTGATAGTAACTGTCGAGCATTTGATTTGCAGGATCAATTTCCGACAAAATAATGAAACAGTTTGTAGGTTTCATGCATTAAAAAAATAATTTCAACAATCAAGGCTCAACTCAAGGCGACATCGGTAATATGAATAAAGATAATGTTTTCCTAAACAAAGCGTACAATGTAACATATACGACAAGTATGCTAAAGAATTCAATGTTACCAATTTCAGTTCAGCAATACTAAACTATTTTACTCCCATTTCTGGAGAATAACGGATCCATAACTCCGGTAGAAACCTTGGATCTTCTCTCTTTGTTCATTTGTTTAACACTAAGCCACTACTATGTGTGTAAACCATCACGTCCAAGTATAACTTTACTTACACTATTAGAAACAGATTAATATAGATATTATGTTGAGGGTAAGTTTCTATGCTCTTTCCTTTGTAACGAGTTCTGTTGTGTCCATTCAAATAGATGAAAAGTCTACAAAATGGTAATCTAACCGCCACGCAGTGGGACGAAATTCTAATTTTGCGGGCTAAAGTCAAATAAATAAAAAAGATCTGGGGCTTGTTATAATACAATATTTTGACACAGTATTGTATTGGCCTTTAAGAAATGGGCCAACTTCTTATTTTAATGTGCATTTTTTTGCTATACCTACCTGTCAAAAAAAGGAAAATCCGCTTTAACCAAAGTTTACATAAAAAAATGTGGAAAGGTTTAGAAATTTGTGCCGCCTTAATCGTTTCGACCTATTTATACCGTTCAACAATTATTTACCAATCATTTGAAATTTTGTAATAAATAAAATTACCTTTGTCCACTGCAAAAAACTTCTCGTTTTCCTGAAACAGCTTGTCTTGCGAAGAGCTGCAATAAAGAACGCTTTCCTAGGCCACCGTAATTTTGACCTAATGTACATAACAGTGTAATGTACCACCTGAGTTTTACGCGAGGAAGTTTGCGAACTTGGAAGATGTACCTTGAATATATTGAAAGCGTTCTCCAGACGTGTTAACAGGGAAGACATATTTCCTGTTATAATCCACTACATTGTTCGCGTAAAGGAACGTACTGAAATTCTTAGGGGTAAGGCAAGAGGGGTGGGGTGGTTGTAGAGCTATCTCGCTCATGTATGTAAATGTATGCGTCATCCGATCTGATCATCTCGTCTTTAAGAAAACATCCTCCGAATTTCAGAGGCAGCTTAAATGTAGGTGTACCAAGCTTACTTCAAGATTCAAACTCTGGAAACAGCATCCTGGGGAAAACTGAGAAAGTGGCAATGAAAGTTCGCGGACTCTACTTAATCAACTTTCGGATATTAAAAGCCAATGAATTTCTATTCTTCTAAAATAGGAATGGCACGAAAAGCGGCTTCTAATATCCTATTAATTTTTTGAAAATTTTTGATAAGACTAAATGTATCCCCTTAAACATGTTTGGTATCTGGGTAGCCAGACCTGACAGACTAACAGACCGACGAGACTTTTAACTCCGAGCAAATGTCCACCGGACCGCTCTGACGAACAGACAGACTAAATTTATCAGTGATATTGAGTATTTGGTTTTGAAACCTGACATTTGACTCATATTGCAGAGACTAGGTTATGAAAATCATCATTTCTTGCCCAAGCACAGTTGCTAAGTGTGTAAACACAAAAAAGAGTGCTTTGGTTCAAGCGTAACTATCTTGAATTGAGGGTCGTGACTTTGATATGTTTCTAAGACATATTTCTTTGAACTAGTGCCCATTTCTTAATTGTAACAGCTATATTTCTTTGAAACAATGAAATTATCTTATTTGAAGTACCAGTGATCTCAAATCAATGTCATAACGTCGGCTTAATATGCAAAGCACACAAGTCCCATACCACTGATTTTAGAGGAGATGGAAAAACTATCCCATGTCTGAAGTATTTATATTTTATATCTATGATGATCAGAAAGATAAAATCACATAACTCGTAGTTTCCGTTTACAAGAAAAATTAGTCGCTATCCAACATCTAATTTAATATAATCCTGATTCAACATGGTACTGTTAACTTATCCTAATCAGAGTTTTACTCCATGCTAAAGATTCGCAAGTATCAAATACTACCGCCACAACAGACATGCATAGACTGCATTAAGGCATACCAAAACATTGACCTTTTAAACTTGTATGGACTTGTATGATGTTACTGTCAGTCAGAGCAAGGGCGAGTGTTATGTGGAATTCTTGACGCCGAATATGTCGCGTACGCATTTTTTGCGAGTTATGAGGAATTCTTGGGACATGCGCGTCACATAGTATCAACTAAAAATTCCAATATATCATTTTCCTCAAAAAGTCAACTCATGTTATATGCATATTAAGCTGACGATTGTGTGTGTGCAGACACCCGTTCATTTTGTTATTCTCGTCTTCCAGATAGAAAACCTATAACAAAGATTTTTCCGAAGAACAGCCCGAGAAACAAGATAACACAAAACAATTCGCGGTTTAATTGTTTTCTAGATAAAGTCAAGAATTTGACCTATTGGTTACCTCTGTTTAGCGAATTGGTGCTTATGTTTAAATATGTTTTGTAATTTTATAAAAAAAATTCCAGTTACGAAAAATGGTTCTAAACATTTCTATTTACCTGCTCTGAATTAATTACTAAAAATACATTAATTTGTGATCAATCATCCTTACAGTATACAGACCGCATATTTAGGGCTTTCATATTTTTAGAAACCTTGAGTTAACTATATTACAGTATTACAAACTTTATTTATGTTGGGAACTAAACATTTAAATAACGGAACTTCCGGCAATTTGAACAAAAGATGCCTACCCCGTAAGGTAGCTAGCACCCTACAATGTAGACGTCTATCAATTATGGGTTGGGAAAGCTTAAGGCGCTATATAATGAAAGAAAACTGGAAAAACAATAAAAACAGCATTCAAGACTTTTGACCGCTGGGATTTCGTCTCACTGTGTGACAGGCCTATGCACCCGAATCAATCTAGAATAGATTACTGCGCCAATCGAAAACCAAATAGCACTACTCCAGCTGATTATGTCCAGAAACCCTTATCCTTTTATTCCTAGATGTATGCGTTATTTTAACACTAAATTTCCATTCGTCCCCTTTGTCAGATTGGTGCAAGCTTGTTCTATTGCATGCGAGCCGAGTAACAATACTTAAACATTTATAATTCTTTCAATTAAACAATATTCTATGAGTGTTTTTTTTTGTTCCATTACCTTGAACAGCAAGACTCAAATAGGAATATTAAGATAAGACACAGGATGACACATGAGTGACACTTTAACACTCCATGCACATTATTCGTCTATCCTCAGTGAGCAGTTGACGAATTTTACCCGCCCGGTGATATAAAAGGAACAGAAGAACAGAAATTTTCACTGAACATGACAAATTTCGACTAGATTATAATTGCGCGATGCATCAAATTAATAATTCATAGTAATTTTCATGTCTCAGTCAGATCCTCTCGGGTGGTACGAGTATTCGCCTTCCTTCCTATATTCTTTTGTTTGAATCTGGTAGATTAGTCAGATAGAGGCTCTATTATAGAGCAGAAGATCAAACTTAAACAACAGCAAACACTTTTGATGTTTTACCTATTCAAGGAATTTTTCATTAAAAGGCTATCGCTGTTATTTACGTTACTATGTCTACTCGTACGTCTCGAAAAGGTTTGAGGTATGGGGCTTGAAATAAAACACTTACATAACCCACCTTGAATTATAAGGGTTGTTAGAGTTATTAATAAAAAAATCGAAGCTCTATTTTAGTACAAAAAAGAACTAGCCAACTAAACCACTGTTTTTATTGCGACAATTTAATTCTTTTGAAACTGTCGATCTTACTGCCCGTAAGCAAAAATATTTTAAAAACGTGACAGTAGCTCGTCAAATGGTATATACAAACTGCAACATTTTTCTGTTATTTGTGTGTCAGAAAAATCTCTGGATTTTCATCTGATACAAACATCTTTGACGCTCGCGTAACAGCATGCGTGTAACCAGGGCTTAACGAGATTCCCATTGTAAAAATAATTAAATTATGCAAGAAGCGATAAATAGTTCGACGAGTGCGAAGTCTGTCAGGCCAGCAGGCTGAACCGCCAGCCGCGCACCAGGACGTTGCTCTCGCGACGGTTACTAACACACAAAATACGCTCATATATCTAATTTTACGTGACCGGCTGTCAATGACTCCTCAACGTACGACGCCTTGGTTCACTCTTGCAATTCTTATTGATTAGAGGTTTACTCAATCGGGATAGTTTTTTTACTATAAAATTATTTTTAATGCACTACGGAACATATTTTAATTAACTTAAGAATCGAACAAATTGACAAAAGATACTTATAGATGGATTGTACAACTCAAAAATAAATAAATAAGTAAAATTTCAGAAAATGTGGAGCAGTTTCATGATTTTATCATGTTAATCACTACAAAAGCTGCTTCTTCCGGGCTACATGTTTTCTGGTATACTGTTAAGCGCTTTTTGATAAAACATCCATTTTTTTTGTTATAACAGATTAACTGCTACACCAAGTTGGGCATATAACTAATTGTGAAGGTACGAGGTCTGAAAATTAAGTGAC